GTGGCATCGTTTTTAAATATTGAGAAAGTTTTCTGAAAGGTTTTCCATAGACTGGATCTCTGGAAAACTCCTTAGAAAACTTTTTCAAAACCCAACTCTCATGGCATTAGAAAGAGGATCATGAAAACCTATAAAAAAATGGTTCATGAAATTTTAGTTCACTCATAAAGCTAAAGTCCGCCTGCTCTAGCAAAAAATGCCCACTGTGGTGGGTGAAAGTGTGCGAAGTTTCGGTATGACCCGAATTTTTCTGTCTTCTCTCTTTCTGAAGAAAATGACTCTGCTGGATTCTGGTTTTACAATTGGACTCAATGGAATCATTGTTGAAATAAAAGTCACCGATGACGAGCAAAATTTGACGCTTTTGGGGTCAGCTGTCACCACACCATGAATTATGGATCCAATATGATTACTAATAGTATTTTCTCATACATTTCGATCTGGCAGTCACACATATGGTCGCAGATGTCAAAGACAAGTGACCAAAAGCGTGAAAAATTGAAAATATCGAAATTTAAGGATTATCAAAACTTTTCGTTGTTATACTGCTTTGAACACTTCTGTGGTAGGCCCAATATTTTGAGATTGCTTTTCAATAGTTTTGTTCATCTAGTCTTCTAGTAATTTTCCATAAAATATTGTATTATATTACGATGCTGATATACGTGAAAATTAATTTTTGTGAGACTCTCTGTTCTGAAAAATCAGTTGTTACCTAAGGTAACATAAGAAATTTCTTTTTCAAAATGAACTGTTAGAGAGGATCAGTAGTGCATTTTATAGAGAACTTGTTGGCACATCTAACGATATGTAAATGAGCATTAGAAACACTTTCTTTCGGGAAAGAGGTTTTTCTCGACCCATATCAATTTTTGCTATTTCTGACAGGAAATGATTTTTCACAGTGAAGAAATTATCCTAAGCGAAACCAAGTATATCCTCGGATGCGCCTTGACGAGTTCTATCGAGCCGTATAATCCGTTCAGAAAAATTCAAAACTTTTCTTATCGTTCGGTATCTTTTATTTTACACAGCCTAATGTTCGGCTCCTATTTGTGGCACTGAATAAGAATGCGTAAAAAAACTTTGACATGGAAAAACGAATCAAAATATAAGTATAAAAACAGCTTTTGTGAATAAGTGTCTAAACCTACTTATCACTACTCAACATATTCACTGTGGAAGACAGCTCAGTTTATAATAATTTAATTTACAAATAATGTAGGTATGTGTGCGTTTCGTCTTAAACCATTACCATCATTTACGCCGAGTACATACCAATCACTCCATCCACCACCAAACGATTGCAATTTATATGCAGTAATATCACCACATTCAATAACCCAGTCAGCATTCAAATCTAAACCAGAGTGAACCCAACGTATTTCACCTGATGATGGTAAGATAGCAGCTTGTGTACATACAGCTTCTGTAGTACCATTAAAACAGCCGTAGTTCCTTCCTATCACCTTGATTTGGACAGCTGGATGGTTGTTGTGCAAGAATGAATAAGAGGATATAGCAAAGAAGAACGATGAGTATAGCGGTTGATTTCATTTTAAAGTTGGTTCGATTTTGAAACAGAATTTGGAACCTAGCTTTCACGTCACCACAACAAATATCTACGGCCATAAATAATTTTCGCGATGATATTCTTGTGGCCCTGATGATATACCAGTGATTCTCTTAAAAAAGAACATTGCACCGTTTGTACATCAGCTTTATCATATATTCCAACTTTTTATAGAAACTGGATGTTTTCCTCATCAGTGGAAATTAGCTTCTGTTAATCCTACTCATAAGAAAGTTTCTAAAACTATTATATCTAATTACAGACCAATATCTCTTTTGTCGATAGTGAGAAAATCTTGGAGCGCTTTATTTACGATCAACTGTTTTACCATTTGACCGTAAATAATTTTTTTTCACACAAACAGTTTGGTTTTCGTCCTAAGACGCCAACCATTGATGCTCTTCCTTGTCTTTTACACAATCTCATAAACAATTTAAATTCGCAACCGCCAGTGGATAGCGTCTTGATCACATTTGACATGGAAAAAGCCTTTGATAACGTCCCTTATCAAATTATAACTTCTCGTCTATGCACCCTTCTTACTGATAGATTACAACAAGTCACAGTAGGACTTTCCTATCTCCTCCTACACCGCTAAAATCGGGTGTAATCCAGGGATCAGTGTTAGAGGCTCTACTATTCCTTGTATTTATTAATGAGTTACCCTCTGTAGTCCAGCTCCCTGCCGATACCATACTTTTTGCTGATGACTGTACGCTGATTTTCCCGTTACTTCTGATTGTTTGCCGCAATTCTGTCAGGAGAATATTGACAAAATATGTGATTGGTGTAATTCAAATCTCATGGCGCTTTATCCTACCAAGTGTGTTTGTTTCTAACAATCCAAATAAAGCTGATACTTTTCAGTTTAAATTACGCGATGGCTCCATCATTCAGCGCAGCCAAAGTCTAGTCCTTCTAGGTTTGAAAATCAACTATAACCTTAGGTGGCGAGCACATATAGACCACCTGGTTAAAACCTTCAGGCAACGTCTAGGTGCTATGTACCGCCAAGTTAAAGAAGCTCCTGCTTCAGTACAGCTTCATATTTTCAAGACATGTGTTTTGAGCATGCTCGATTACGCCTGTGTATTGTATAGCAAGTTCGAAACATTACAGAATTCACTTGAATCTGTACAAAATCTTGCGGCACACATGATTACACGGGATTTTGATACATCAGAGATCGTGTATCCGGCCTCAGGTTACCTCCATTAGAGGTACCAAGAAAATATTTTCGCCTTCTACTATTTTTCAAGATCCTAAATGGGCACTTCCCACTTTCTCGATTGAGCCTAATCCGGTTAGATACAGCAAGAAGATCAGACAGGTTAGTACAACACTCAAGACAGGTAGAAGTTCCTTTTGCTCGAACGGAGACTGTTTTACAATCCTTTTTATACCAAACAGCGCGAGATTAGAATCAAACTCTACCAGAAGCAGTTGTCTCATCTACCACTATTAGAAGTTTTAAAATAAAAGTAAGGCATCATCTATAACTATGAAAATGGTAGCGAGGTTTATAGGTGCATCGCACTTTTTTTGCTTTCCTGGTAACCGGTTTTTGATGTAGATTAAAGGTTTCGGTTTTTATTGTATGTTTATCTGTGTTCACATATTAGTCCTGTTATTACCAAAATAAAAATCAATCAATCAATCAATCTTATTATGGTTGTTATTTGTAGTACACGCACAATTGTCAATTCTTTTTTGTTATAAATATTTTTATATATAAAACTGTCAGTATATTTAAGATGTGCATGACGATTTGAAATCAATTTTTGGCAATGTTCAAGACTATCAAGTATTTTTTGTATAGAACAGTGAAGTATTATAAAAAACGAATGAGAACGTATTAATGAATAGGTTTCCAATTAGTATTCAGATATTTTATTTGAAAAAGTTCATCTTTGAGATTTGTTCAACAGCATTTGAGGTGATCTCTTGAAAGGCATAACAATCGAAATATTTCATCTAGCACGTTGTCTTTAGGTACATGTGTTCCTTCTGGAGTTGATGGTCAATGTATATGTTTACCTGGTAATTCTGGACGTGTTT